TGCTGCTTCAATTGACGCAAGGCGTCTCCAAGCCCCGAGGGGTGTTGAGCGCTTTGCGCGTTCGGAGTAATCCTCTATTAATATTACCACATGTCGTACCTCTAAATTGTCAATATTTTCTTCCTCAAAATCCTCTCCAACACAACACATTTTCAGCTTTAAGTATTAATTTTCCTGGCGCTCTTTCTCCTCTTGTTTTTCCTTTTGAGCAATTTCTTACATTCTTGAAGGTATTTCCACGAGTGCCCACTGTGGGGAGCAATCCCTCTGGTATTACATGTGTGTGTGTGTGTGTGTGGGGGGGGGTTACAACCCACACTAGGTGCATACTGTTCAATAAATTGACTGCCCCCTGCTGGGAATTGAATTTGGATCTCCCAGAATACAGTGCCACAAGAATAACGTGTTTTTATCTTGTTAAGAATCTTCTGTAAAATTTAGGCCAAAGTAGTTGTTCTTCAATGGTAACAGAACTATTAAATTACACAATCATGGAAATATGCTGCTTCTTTTTATGGTCTATATAATCCGTCAGATGCTTTTTATAATTGGAATATTACTTATTGTAAATTGAATGTATCAACTGTTGATATCAAAAATTACATAACAATTTGATTATTTGACATCATTGTTTTTCAAATTTGCAAAACAAAAGTATTATGTATGCATAATTATTTGTTTAAATATTATTTTTTATGTATTACATAACTTTATAAATTACTTTTAAAACTTGTTTCACATGTGTCCATTTCCAAATAGTGCCTGAAAACCTAGCAATGACAAACAAGATCTCAAAATGCAATATCATGTTTTGTTTAAGAATTTTTGTGATATATTTTAGAGAAATGCTTTTGAAAATTAACATAATTCTGGAACGTTCATACAATTTCTACATTTAACTCAGCATATAGGTGATTATAAGATGAAGGCAAATTTGTTTCTGGCCACGAATCAAATGGCTACAATTTCATTTATACGTATCCAAAAGTTCAACAACTCTCCTTGCAAGCTTGTTAATAGAAATTTTTCAAGCATTTCTGTTAAGCATTTTCATCAAGTCTCAAACTTTGAATGCTCCAAAAATTATTGAACTAAATTTTTTAAATTACTCCTAGTCAACTCAAGAAGCAGAACACTTTTAAAGGTACATTTCTCTCATTCTGAAGCATAATTCAAATGGGAACATGTTCCCTGCATTTTTTTTTTAAACTAAACATGATATTAATTATAGTGTACTTAACACATTACCATGGTTATAACCAATTTATGATTGTGTAGTCATAAAAAATGCTGATATTTACTTTCTGAAGAAACATATGTAACTAGGAATTTGCAATTTGTTGAAATTTCTGTATAATGGAAACATGCCTTGAAACAAACCTCTTCCTCTTATCACTTTCACTCCCATTCAAAATTCTACATTATGGGCAATCAGTAAGTTTAATTTTTCATGTTTAGAATCTTTAGAATATATGCAATTATGAATTTGGGAATAGTTAAGTCTTTTGGGAATAAAGTTTTACTATTCAATGATAAAAATATATTTCATTTAATTACAACTGGGTTTTCAATGCTACAGAAACATCAGGATTTAAATTGACAAGTTGATTGCTGCACTCTGCTAGTTCAGAAATAGATACTCTGCCACGTTGCTTCACAAATTTGGCTACAGCTGCTAACTCTTCCTCGGAAATATAAATGAATTTTCCTCTATCATCGATAACACCTAAAAGCAAATAAATAATGAACTGTTTAAGTAAACAAAGAGAGGAGAAGATGGCTAAAGCACACAAGTGAGTGCTTACCAGTGAGTGTACCTTCTTTTTGAAGTTCCTGGATTCGGTCAATAACATTTTGAGTCTTCAGTTTAAAAGTGACAGCAAGATCTTCTAAAACCACCACTTTTGTTTTCTGTTAAAATTGAATACATGTGAGAAAAAGCGAAAAATACAAAAATTTTTATTAAATTGCCACAAACAATTTGTAACTTCCTAACCTTGATATAGTTAATAAACTCCTGTAGGAGATTGTCTTCTGAATTTTCAATATTTTCTTCCTCAAAACCCTCTTCTTCAACACTGAAACAAGCTTTCAGCTTTAAGTATTCCTCATTTTCCTGGCGTTCTTTCTCCTCTCGTAATTTTCTTTCTTCCTCCTCTTGTTTTTCTTTTTCTTTTTGAGCAATTTCTTCAGCCTTTAGTCTTTCTTCCTCCTCCTGTTCTTGTCGTCTTTTTCTATCTTCTCTTGCTTGAGCTTCTGCCTATTTACAGAAATTACTCTTATTACATTCCTGAAGGTTAAAAAAGTCAAACAAATTTTCTAATACATACTTCTCGCTGAGCTTTTCGTTCTGCTTTTGCTTCTAATTTAGCTCGTTTCTTTGCTCCCACTTTATCAGAAATGTCAATTTTTGGCTCTTCATCTTCGTCTTCTTCAGAATCATGATGTTGAGGCCCTTCAAAATGCAATTGCAATAATTTTTTTAAAATTCTAGTTAAATTAAAAAGGAAAATAACTACTAATTCATTGCAATGCAGTTTTTATAACAACTAATTTCAAAAACCTTGTACAACAAAACAGTCATGTTCCTCTTTTGGCCACGTTTAGGTTGGTCCAAAAATTGTATGGACACAGATTTGGTAGTTTTCTTTAGTCTTTTAATTTAAAAGTTGGATGTAAATTATATAAAAATTTCTGAATCCATTTATTTATTAAATACCTGCTGTTCTCAATCGAGCTCTTTGATTACGAGCTGCAGCAACTACTCGTCTGGGTCTTGCAGCTTCTTGTGCTCTTATTTGTTGGGCAGGTGGACCTTCGGGTTCTAAAAGAAATCAGAACACAAAATATATATCAAGCAATTAGAAAGTAACCATATGCTTCAATGCACCTTACCTTTTGATTGTCTCTGTTTAAGGAGAAAAAGCATACATATAAGAACAACGAAGCCAGACGCTACACTTATAACAAGTAATAAATCCATTTCGTTAGTGTTGAAGTGTCAATTCATTAAATATATGAAAGGTAAATTAAGGAAGAATGTTAACTGCTATAAGTTGAAGTAATTAATTCAATTCGGTGATTTTCCTCTAGTTATCAAAATGTTAAGACAAGTTGTTTATTAATAAAATAAACGTCTATTTAAATTGGACTTTTTAATCCTTTCATTTCCTGCTTTCAAAAGTCTGATACGTCAGACCGCATTTCATGGGCGGACCTGGTGGACGCTAATCAGAATACTCCGACCAACTTCACGGCAAGTATACTTCGATAATTATAATGTGGCGTATCGTCACGATCTCATGGCGTTCCGCATTTCTCGATCGTGCCGCTGGATGTCGCGACCGTATCAAGCAGTGCGATGTGTCTAGCGGCACGATCGAGAAAGACGCGAATTGCCGTGAGAATAGACCCTGACGCGCCACGTTGTAAAATCCGAAGTATACTATACTATATTCTCTTTGCCTTAATATCGAGATGACACACTTAGAATTTGGTGAAATACTACAGTGAATAAAGTGAGAGACAAATTTGTGGGTATTTCCGGCTTCATTTATCATTCTCACTGTAATCACCGTCATTCGTATTACTTTTTGTGGCAAAATCATTGCTGGTGTGTGTATTGACTTTTTAGGTACCACCAACCTCCAGAACGGGACAACGTTAGTCGGCTCTCACCTTGGACGAGAAGTCTTGGGACGCTTGGTTGCTTCCGGTTCGACGTTGCCTTCGTTGTGAAGAGAAATTTAATTCATAACGTGTTGTGTAAAATGATGGATTTATGAAAAATGATTTGACTTGAGACTTGTTTACTTTAGTGTTCTTTTGGTATGGCTGCAACTGCTAATTTTTCATCTATGAATGGAACAGTGTCTGCGGTGAGTAACGACTTCGACACGTTGATGTTTTGTTATTGAGATGATTATTACTAGTATTCTTACCCGTCTGCTATTGCTATGTTTATTCAGGGTTGAAGTAATTCATTTTATTGAGACAATTATTCCATGTTTATTTTTGAAGCATTTAATACTACCTCTAAGAATATTCATTGTCGGCGTTGCGTCTTTCGCCATTTTGCGGGGTGCCTTTTTCTCTTGCTACCCCCACCACGCATTTCTGGTTTCCCGCTACTTATTGATTTTTCTCTTTATTTTCTGGAGTTCGTTTGTGAGTAAGGCGAGTGTGAATTAAGTGTCACAGCTGCCTTGCATACTTCGATATTGTAATTATTTCATTAAAAGTTTTCGGGCAAAAATTATATCTTTAATTCAGTAGTAGATCATAGCTGAAGTGCTATAAAAACAAAACAAATCGTAACACGATTGAACTTGCCTTCAAATAATAAAATATTACACGATATGTAATTAAGAATTGTAGAATAAATATTAACTCAGTAAATGTTCAGAAGAAAAATTATTAATGTATAGTTGATTATTAAATTTATTTTGGTTCACAGCCTACTCCTCAACCTCCACCGCCTCCTCCTGGGACTACTGACCCAGAACCTCCAGTGTCTCCTGCACAGGAAAATAATGAACCACCTGTGAAGAAGGTTAAGGTGGAAGGTATGGATATCATACTTACTTTTGCCTTTTTTTGAAAGGAAGCCGTTCATGAAGTTTCTTAGCAATGGGGACGTATTCCAAAATGGGTAGTTAGTTCAATGATTTTTAAAGCAGTACTATTTTAAAATGGATTTCATGGAATAAGTCAGTGATGCACTGTTTGATTTGTAAGTAGCGGACATAAAAACTCGAAGAGCGTGTATCTGTACTAATACAAAACGTCTCTCTCTGTTTCTGAGTTGTTACAGGATTACTGTGAAGCCAATATCAAGCTATCCACTATGTTAACTACCAGTGGAGAATTGTGACCTCACCTTTCTCTGTGTTAGACACAAAAGGGGGATGGGTTTAGAGGGGAATGGAAATTTTAATTATTTTTTTTTAAAAAAGCTCTTCGTTCATGGTTTATTTTAAAACTTGGAATTCATAATACAACATTTAAATGGCTGTTGTCACATTAAGATAATATTTAAAGTAAAGGGAGTGTGAAATTGACAGTACTAGATTTGTTGAGGGAAATTGTAATAAGCTGTGGAAGATAAACATTTTAGTTACCCAATTTTGGTCACATGCAGGCAAATGAGCACAAGCATTTTAATCTGATTAAAATTCAGTGGTATTTTTAATTTTAATGCAAATAAGTTTTAGTACAAATGTTACCAAAAAGTAGTGTAGTTGGTGGGAAACTGTTGCCATGAGGTATATGTTTTAACATCAGAATAATTAATCTCATTAGAATGTAAGCATTCAGTTTTTTAATGTAAAGTAGTAATGTGGCCCAAACAGTGCTCAGGAATTTTGAGTTGTATTGCCTGTAGTTAATTAGCTAACTTGTTGCAAATTGCTTGTGGATAAGGCACGTATCAGCAGTGTTGGTCTTTTGAGTGATTTTATTATCTGATAACTGAGTCAGTGACTTTGTACTAGAGTGCAGATTTGTAGGATAACATTTTTCTAGGGGCAATTGCTGTCAGTTAATTTTTTTTATTTAGTACCTAATCTAGACCAAGCCATGGTAAGTCTTAGAGTATGTCAGAGTTCATATTCAGCAGTTTGTCCTGTACTAGTACTACGATGACCATCACCATGACTACTACCACCACCTTCACCACCACTACTACTACTACTACTACTACTACTACTTTTAAGACTACTGCTGTTACTACTACCTTCGTTATAATCTGATTTAACCCAATTTAGGGCAAATTGGCTATTGATCAGCTGGGACATGGTTATCCGATTAAGAATAATATGAAAATAATATAAATATAATAAGCTTAAAAAAATCAAGTTGTAACAAAGTTTCCGATTAGATAACCATGTGCCAGCAGGTTGTTGTCAATTCACCTTACTTGTAATACTACTGTTACTATTACCTCCACCACTAGTACTACTACTATTACTGCTAAGACAATATGCAATATAATGCTTGTTTTATAGCAGTTGAAAGAATATATAATTAGATTTTACTGTTTCTCACACTTGATAAGTATTCGTGGTACTAAGAATTATTTTTTATGTCGTGGCTTTTGCATCATCTCAAAAAATAGAATTTGTGGAAATTCTCAATTTTTTTGTAATTAAATCTGGTGTGGGAAGCAAATATGATTTTGTTAGTAATTAAGATACTGAATGTACTTGGTTAGTGATGTTATTGTGATTGAAAGTATTTTTTTGTTATATTTGCAGATTGTGGTTAAGGTAAAGATGTTAGGACATGAACAAGATAAGAGCCACAGAATGATGATTCTCAGAGATCAGGAAGAACATGTAGACACAATGTAGATTTTATAGAGAACTTTTCTGTTGACTATAGTCAAATATTTGTTTTGTAACTTTAACATGGTTGTTGAAAGATTCCAAAAGATCACTGTATAGTCACCAGAATAGTTAGTCTATGGAAGTTTCCAAGTGTGTAGTTTAGTATCACATTTGATTGAAGCAGAAACTTCCATGGAAAGAATTCATGAAATGTACGATATTTTAGTTTTGTGAATGTTTGTGTGGGTGTGTTAAACAAGAATCAGATACTAATTTGGCAACTTTTTTAATGTTTGTTAGTAAGTGCTAGAAAATTGAGATGAGACAATTGTTTTTACAATATTCTAAATGTTATCAATTGGCAAGCAGAATACTTTGAGTAATGGGCAACAAAGCCTTTTCATTCCTTTTCTTGACATTTGTTATGTATTCTAAATTTGAAGGAACAAATTTTTAAACAATTTACAAAAGAAAATCTGATTTTGAGAAATATTTTCATTGTAAATGTACATGATGTATCACTTAACGATACTATTTCATTTTTTGTCGAATTGATTGCTTTTGTTTTCATTATCAGATCCTATAAACTTTGTTGGGGACTTAAAAAATTGTATTCAAAATGAACTTGTGCAAAAAGAACATTTTAAAAACAATGTTTTAAAATTGTGTCTGGTTAGAATGTGGTTTATGACTGTATGGATGTTTTTTTTTAGCAAGTAGAATAATTCAGATCTCAATGTATGTGGTAGCACTGATGACTGTTGTTGAATGCTGTTTGTGTGATAATGTGAAGGATAGCATTGAGGTTTGATAATGAATTTGAAACTTTTTGAACATAAATTGTGAGATTTTTGGGGCATGTATGTTTTCAGTCCTGAAATAATGGATAGTGTTTTCTGTTAGCAGCTTCATAGTTGACTTCACACCTTTCTCCTGCTCATACAGTGAAGGTAGCTAAAGGTGACGTGAAATACCTGTTATAAAACCATTAAATTCTTTCATCGTATGAGCAAATTGATTTTAAAGTTAGATTTAATTTGCTTTTCCAGAAACAATATCTTGTGGCATAACAGTCAAGTGAAATGAGCAAGTTTATAGAGATCTCAAATTAAATCTGACTTAATTGAGTTATTGGCAATATAATCAGAATAAATTATGGAATTGTTGTAATGCAATTTCACGTGCCCTGATATTTTATTAAAGTTTTAATTGTTTTGTGGTAGGTGTTGTTTCAGGAGTTAATATAATTTTTATTGCCGTACATACATTATAGCTATTATTGATAAAAGACAGCTAAATTCTTGTGCTGGAGATGGCTGCATCATAATAAACTGACATAAAACTCCAGTTTCATTCTAGCATGCGAGATTTAATTGCCGTGACTTGATGACATGTGTCCATTTGGTTTTCTTGATTTCTTTCCTCTTTTTTCTGTGTTGTTCCATGGGTAGAGTTGCGCCTAGCCTAGCCCTGGTGTTTTCAGCGGAGTGGGCGAACCAATCAGGGGGCAACATGACCCTGAACGCCTGCTACCCCCCCGCGGTAAAGGTCAACTTTAGCCTCGTGTCACCACTCTTTGATTGCTAAACTGTCTTAGCCTCAGCAAATGTTACTCTTCTGGATTATTATGATATTCAGACAGATTTTGTGTGAGTATAGGACCCTTTTGATCATGAAGATAATCAATGTTTCTTTCTTGAAAGAGTTAAAAGGTTTAATTTGATGATATCTGAGGCTAATATGGTTTGGTACTATTATTTGACTTCCTGCCCTCTTTCCAATTCCTATGTCCTTTGATACCTCTTATCAGTTCTTTATAGTTGGGTGTTGCCTTGATTGATCCTCTTGTTCTTTTTTTTTTTTTATTTTTGTGAAGAGTACTGAACATGCTGGCTTGAAATATCACCCCAACAAGCAATTTTCTGAACAGTTTCAGTGAATTATACAAATTGTTTGTTGTGTAATGAATGGTTGACTTAAGGAGTGCATACACACATTTTTGGCTTTTCGTGACTTTACAGGAATGTTAATCTTGATGGCATTGGGAACTTGTGTAACTTTCCAATATCAATAAACCATAAGCTTTGATTTCTGTTTTGTAATGTTAGATAACTTACTGCAGAAGAAGGTGTATTAATCTTTTATGTAGCATGCAGTGACTTATTTGCTTTTTAATTGGATGCCAATAACTTTGACTGAAATTTGGCATACCCTTCATGTATTGTAATATGAAATTTTCTATTTATTTCAATTATAAAGCTGTTTTTCTTGTCAATACTTTTAACTTGTTCCAATTTCTTGACTTTTTCTGTCCCCAATGCTTTCAAGAGTGTTTGATTCCGATGAGAACATCCTGAGTTGAAGTTAGGTGTCAGATCAATTGCTTGCTGGTGGTCCTGCCTGCATGTCCAGTTTAGAGTTGGATTTGCTTAGTAACTGCAATTTCCATCTGTTATAGGAGATGGTGGATCTGCCCCTACTGACTATTTACCAGGTCCTATTTACAACCTGGTTCAAAATGGTGCCCTTGTGGCAGGTAAGAATGGATGTCCAATAGATATGTATATGAAACTTTTATTTTTAAGCATTTGTAAAATAAAAATGAAAAATTTGGGTTGTAGGTCCTGGAGCTAGAAATACATCTATTCCAGGCTTGCTGGGTGCAGGTCTTCCAAAACTCTCATCTGATCAACAAGATGCAGTTACTAGAGCCAAGAAATATGCAATGGAACAGAGCATTAAGATGGTCCTGATGAAGCAGACATTGGCTCACCAGCAGCTGGTAAGATAATTTCAGTTATATTCTTTGAGTATGATTGTTATACATTTTGTTGTAAATACTACATAAAATATTCATTGCTTTGTAAGGCTGTTCAGGGAATTACATGCATAGGAAATCTTGAATTCATAAAAAGCTTGTATTTATGAAACTTACAGAAAAGCCTTGAATTTTTATCTGAAACTTGGAAATTCTATGTTCTTTATTAATTATTTATTGTGCACATTGCATTTTTTAAACTATTTGATTCAATATTAAATTATGTTGATGGGATTTTCGTTAAATATTAAATACTTGGATCAATTGTAATGGATAAGATTAAAAACTTCCTTTCCTTTTATCTCACTAAATCAGTTTCACAGTTCATATCAGTTTCTGTATTATACCTCCGTACTCTCACCTGTAGAGGAACATCAATTTAAATTTAATTACATACTCATATTTTAAATTCCATGTATGAGACTATCATGTACACTGGTTTCAGTAAAGCCTTTGTCTCTGGCAATCATACAATACTTACAGATAAATTAAAATCATTTGGCATCACAGGTTCTTTGGTAAGTTGATTTGCTGATTATAACAGATAGAATCCTCCACCAGAAGTATAAAAATTTCATTTCTGGTGAAATTCGATTAGTATCTGGTATACCTTAGGATAATGTTTATAAAGCTTAAAAATAAAAAACAGAATTTTTGTTGTTTATAGATGCCTCAAAAACTTTAAAATGTATTATCTCTTGAGATAATATTTTAGATCTTTAAAAAATTTGCTTGATATACTAAACACTGATTCAAAAATAACTGAATTAAACCCAGAAAAATTGGTTTCAGTTACATTTAGTCATTTTAGAATCTCTTTTGATAACATCTACTCCATTAACGGGTAATATTTATCTACAATGAATTCTATAAAAGGTGTAGGAGTTATATTTGGTTGCAAAATGACATTCAATAAATATATTTATAAAATAGTTAATAAATAAATCCAAATATTAGGTTTTGTTTGAAGGAATTGTAGAGAAATAAATTCAACAAAAGCATTGAGATCATTGTATATACATCTATATATCAGGCAATCATTGTTGGCCTTGTCAATAAAAATAATATAGGGGAATCTCATTAGTGTATTCCCTGATACTGTTTTTGCTCCAGAGAGTTCTCTTTATACGAATGGCAGGTTATCGATATTATTTGGTCTTCAACCAATGTTACTAAATGTTGCAATTACTTGAGGGAAAATGAGTTGGAAGAAATATTGCCTGGGGAAGGTTGCAGCCAAAGTGTTGGTGGTAGTGCTTAGGTTGTCTCTCTCGGTCAGTCAAGTAGGTACTAAATTACAGAAATTCAGGAGAGCGAAAAAAACAATTTATGTAAGTTTTGAACATTTCTGAAGTTTTTCTCATTTAGTTTTTCTTTGATTTTTGTCAGTTCATTCAAGTGATTTCCTTGTTCTATCGAGAATTCAGGAGTTCAGATTGGCATTTTGTATGTGTTGAAAGTTTAACTTTTAATTTTTCTGTTTTAATATTGTTGTTGTTTCTGCACTACATTTTACATTTCCTTTCTGCTTTCTCTCATGTAACTTACTTAGTGTAGAGAAAGTACTTCAAGTCTGCAGCCAAAGACAGTGATTTTCAAGTAAAAAAATTATTCTGTAGATCCTGTCACAAAAAAGTGAATAATTCTTGTTCCTATATGTAGTAAATAAATCTCTAACCCCTTGTGTGGTCAGAATCCATGTGTTGTGGGTCCTTGTTACTGAAAAATTGGTTTATGGCAAAAATCTGTTGACCTGTGAACAATGCTGGCAACTAAACCAGGATTGTCAACAAATTTAGCTGCTTTATCTTGGCCTCTTGAATTTGAGATGGATATTTTGATTTTTGGGACTACTGTACAAGGAGCCCTACCAGTGTTTTCTAAATTTTCTGGAAAATTGCTCCAAATTTTTGTCCCTCATAGAGCAAAGGACCCTTTAAAAAGGTAGCAGAGGTTGCGGTTTTGTTGAAGTTTGAATTTTCGTAAAATGTAAATGTTCCAAAGTTTTTGGGTGTCTTCCTAAAACTACAATATTGAAGGTATAGATATTTTTTTTCTTTATGAACTCAGTTCATCAAAAACACCCTTTTAAATAAGGCCATGTAAAATTTTTGAAAATGAGTAGTTTTTACATAATTTTGGGTGAAATATACACTATAAAAAATTATCAAGAAGACTTCCAATTCTTTGAAATTAATTATTTTTTTATAGAGCGAAATATAATTATTAAAATATAGGTCTGAACTTTGGAAAAACAATGGATTTTTCTAAATTTGCATAACATTAACATTGCAAAGTAGAATTTTAATAATAGAGATCTTTTTGCTACATGAAATCTGATCTTTAAAATTACCTCTTTAAATGAGGTCATATACATTTTTTTAAATGAGTATTTTTGGAATATTCTTGCCAAATTGAATTTCAAAATGATCTTGAAAAGTCTTGCAAAATTGCAAATTTAAATTTTGTTTCTTTTGCTGGAGAGTGTCTCTAATGTGGCAATGGCAAACCCCTGGACTTTGAAGTTAATAAATTGAATTGATTGCCTGGATTGCAAATTTTTGTTGATGTTTTAGGTTTAAAAGAATTAGTTTTCATACATTGTGATTCGTTTTGTAATGAATTTCGCAAGTAAAGACTGAGATATTAGTTTTATCAGAAAAAGCAGTATTATACTATTGAATTGACTTTACTAATATGAGAAAGCATGTGCTGTTGCAGCTCCTTTTAATTTTTACTTTTTCATGCATATGTGCGTGTGAGAGGATGCATATTGGCTTGTGTGTGTTTTGTTTTTTATGAGGATATGTGGAAATCTTCAAAAGACACTGGGTGGCCAATACTACTCAGCGTGCGAGATTTTTAATCACCAAGACCAAACCTCCCTTCCATCCTCTCCGCAGAACCATGTACAGGCATTACATTGTGGAGAGTGTAATAGTGATCCAGTTACATGAAGTTAGTCAAGTGAGGGATCAGAGATATACCTTCTCCTTTTTCTGTGTCTCAATTCCAGCAGTCTTTCTGCAAATTTACACACTGACCTCCCATTGCTTTCAGAAGTAGGCATACATGCAACTGTTTTCTGGAGTCTTCTGGCGTTTACCAAATATGTCAGCATTAACTCATTGTTGGGGGTGCAAAACATGGGCACTGAAAAAGTGTTCTGCATCCTTGACATCATGTTCACACTCACGACAATGTAGAGAATCATCCAATTTGAACCTGTGAAGGTATGCTCTGAAGCATCCATGCCCTGATAGAAGCTGCCTGAGGTAAAAGTGTTTCCCGTTGTGCTTTTGACTGATCCACGATTCAACTGTAGGAGTCCATCTTCCCTTGGAGGATCCCATCCTGTCCCATCACTGTTGCAGTTTTGCTAATTATTCTGAGCATTTCTGTGTCCCATGTCTTTTGTCATAATGCCTTTGATGTTCATGGGCTATCTTTTGGAATTATCCTGGCTATGATGCAAACTGCTTCATTGGAGACAAAGCGGAACGCACATGCACCCCTAAGCGCAGATATTGAAGCTATGCCTGTTACATAGCTCTTCCTATCTATAGAATTGGCCCAAACTGGTGAACCGTAGATCTGAAACAGCTGTGGTGACCGAGGCAAACAGCTCTCGTGTTTCAGGACTATGCCCTCCAGTGTACGACGTTAACATACCCAATGCAGCATTCACCACCTCCGCTTTTTTGCTGGCATAGTCCAAGTAGTCTCTAAAGGATAAGAGCATGTCAATCGTGATGCCAAGGTATTTTATCGCAATTCGTGGTGAAATTTTGCGATGGATTCTCTCTTCTTTCTGCTAGTTACAAGAAGCACTTATGTCTTATGTTCTACAATCTGCAATTCTGTGGAATCTAGCCAATGACTGACAATAGCAATTGCTTCATTGCAAATACACACTATCTCTTCTATAAAGTTTGTGATGATGGCAATGGCAATTTTGGTTGCGAAGCCTATTATCTTGGTTCTTTCTGGGAGTGGGAGCCTGAGAACCAGATCATACATATTCCACAGCAGTGGACCCATCACTGAACCTTGTGGGATGCTGGTGGTGATTTTGTGTACCTTTGGTCCATCGTCCATATTATTCACTAGAATTCGTCAATTCAGATATTCAGCCACTATTTTTCTCTGGAATGTAGGTACATTGATTTGATGGACTACTTTATGAATGTCACTCCATGTTGCTGTGTTAAGGCTTTCTTAATGTCCAATGTTACGATTGTACAGTACTTTTTTAGACCTCTTCTCCACCTGCTCCCTGCAATGGCATATCAGGCAGTGTCAACAACAAACTTAAACAGCATTGATTGTTGAACGAGCTAAAGCCATACTGGTTCTCTGAGGGACTACTTCCCTATCTACTGCAACTTCCAATCTCGCACTAATGTTATGCGCTAAATCCTTTCTTGTGGTATCGATCATGCACAGCGGTCGGTAAGATGCCGGCTCTTAAGGAGGTTTTTTCCCCTTTGGAAAAGTTCTTTCATCATGGGACCCCATCTCCCCATCGCTCAGACATGTCATAGAGGTCCACGAATACTTCACTATGAGCGGATATTGCAGTTTGAGGGCGATGTTGGGGATACTATCTGGTTCTGGTGCCTTGGAATTACCAATCCTAATAATTACATGCTGTAGCTCATCCTCAATTATTGGTGTTATCATTTCCATATCGGGTGGCTTGTTTGTCAGTTCACCAGGTTGGTGTAGTAATAAATTTGTCACAATTCTCTGTAAAGGTTAGGGGCAAGTTGGGAGACTGGGCATGCAACTTAAACTTGGTGGCTTGACTGTCTTGTATAGCCAACTGCATACATCTTTGCTCGTGTCGTTGTCGTCGCCTCCACCATTATCCGTGTTGTCGTCATTGGCGCCGTCGCCTTTGCCCGTGTCGCACTCTTGTGCCATTTTCCTCTCAGTCCATTTGTCTCATCATTGTATGTCTCCCTTCCCTATTGTGTTCCTCTCTTCCCCTTTTCAAAATTTGTTCATTTTGTCTCATTTTGCCCCCTTCTCCCTCTTCGTCGTGCTTTGTCCTACTTGTCCCTTAGACCTTTTGGTCTTGCGCACTGCGATTATTTATGAACAATACAAATAATCTGTACCAACAACCCTTGCTGCAGAACATAGAGTGATGACAATTCGTAACTTATGAGTGTGTTAAACATTATTTGTAACACATCCCCTATTAGTCTTTAAGGACTCAGCAGGAAGACTAATTTAGAGGACTTGTTGCATAAATACCTGTTTTGTGACCTCTCGCGCGTTGTTAATATTCACATTAATGGTCATTTGAATATATAAATGCATTTATGAATACATGTGCTTCCTATGATGTCTTACAATATTTCTCGAAAATTCGACTTTAGTGTGAAAAAGAGCTTCAAATTTCACATTTACAGAAACTTTTCTCAAACGACCTTTCCTCAGAAATGTCGCCAAATGTTTCAACGAAATATTTCATATAGGACGATGTTTCTCTACTATATTCTTATAGTTAAATTTAACTGTAACCATAAAGATAGCCCAGACTAAAGAAAAAAATCATTGACGAACTGATAAAGAACAGATGATTAAATGCAGTTGCTAAATTAAGGAGAAAATCCTCCTGATGCGCGTTGGAGGCAGAATCCCTATTTTCTATATTTCTATATCGAAAAACCAATTGATGACAAAACATCTGTGAACACCACTAGTGGCCAAACCATACATATAATTTTTCCAAATTGACGAAACTCTTGTCTGTGTGGCATACTTTATATAAAGCGCACCGCCCTCCTCAACATTTTCAATTTTTTTTTTTAAGTTTAGTGGGGGACTAAAAGGAGAAATATTTTACAAAACATTGACTCTCTTGAATTATAAATAATGGAACTCATATTTATTTTACATATGTTCAATTTACATTGTATATTGAAAGCAAATTGTAAATGGAATAGCCAAAAGGGATTTGGCAATCTTTAATAATAATTTGATTAATCATATCATCTCTTGTCAGATACATGTTTGGAGATGAGTTAATTCAAAGAAAGAAAGAAAGCAGTGGTGTACCTAATAATATGCATTGGGATTCATCAATGTATACTAATGGTGAATCTATTGTGAATGGTTTTGAGAGTTACTTTTCTTAGTTTTACAATAATCAATCAAATTGAGTGTTTAATTATAGTTTTCATCTACGTAATGTGCCACTACAGGTTCTGTGCTGTATGAAAATCATTGTTGTGGATATATTAAGCAAAATTGAAGAGTGTCATTCCAAAAATTGAGTCTTTGATTAGACTGACTGGTGAACTCATAATCTCTTTAAATTGCACAGAGATCAGTATTACTAGATTCTGTTCATTAACAACCTTCAAGTACATAAATAAATACTTAGATCAAACTTCAATTATTTTTCTTGGGAATAATTTTTTTTTATTGTAATGGGGAATTCAGATTTTTAACACATTCAAACAAAAAGGGTTTAGACAATGAAAATGTTCTACGTCACCTCCTTAAGGAACAGTGTTTATGAGGGATTATGAAGTTGGATATTAAATTGAAGCCTTATTTTACGTGGCGAGACTCGGACCATCAGGCCCACTCTTCCGTCTGACCACGCAAATTTCGCTACGCTCCTTTCACCAACTTGCAGAGGAAAAAAGTATTTCTTGGGCGAGAAACAGGCGATTTTGAATTTAGCTCAGAGGCGTCATTTAGGCTTGATCTTTTACATGCAAGTAAATCTACTAACATGGGACGGCCGGCTTTACTTCCCCTCTGAAGGAAGGCGTACGAAGGATTTTTTCGCCCTTAAAAATCCACGGCTTCGATCGGGTTTGAACCCGCCAACTTGGGTACAACAGTCCGGTACGCTAACCGTTACACCATCGCCGCCGCCGAATTAAGTAAAGAATTCTTCTTTTGGGACACACATTTTCTAAGAGTGTTCTGTATTTCACTTGGAGGGGCTCTTTTTGTGTCTCGCTCCAATAGATGTTTTAACTTAAAAGTCAATTGGGGAAAATGAGCTCAGATGATTTGGTGGGCAACTGTATATGCTACCCAATCATTTGCCCTTCTCCAACAGTTCCACATTGGCATGCGCAACGGTAAGATCCATACGTATGCAAGGTGAGATTACAGTTTTCTCATTGGATCTGCAAAAAAAAAATTCTGGTGAATAGTAGAAAAACCTACTTTGTATTATTTGCTTTACATTCCTTATTTTAATGAGTTATAAAAATTTTGATGAATAATATTAAATACATTTGCCAAATAGACTAATGTACTTTAGCAGAATTTAATAGCACTTAATAAATATATTTGTTCAACTTTGTGGAAAGTTTTCACAAACCTAGCTCTATAACTTTCTTGTTGGAAGTCACTGACAAGAAATATTTTGAGAACTTCCTTATTCATTTGAATTTTTGAGAGGATATCAATATTATTTTATATTTATAATGTAGAAAATCAAAATTCAATTGTTGAACCTTGAATTGTACACCCATTTACTTTGTTTTGCTTCACACATTAGTCAAAAACCTACTCTGCCAACAATTTAAAACTTGTGAAATAGATGTCCTCAGCTTTCTGGATCCAAAACAGTTGCTTCAGGTAAAGTGTTGGTTCAAGGAATCTTACATATTAGACTTTTCTCCCTCTCTAATTTTTTTCTTTTCATTGTGAAGAAACCAAGTGTGCTTTACACACATTGTTCAGTAGTGCTGTTCAATTTTCAAGGATGATTTGTACTACTGAAATAAGTGGTAATGTAAACATTTACCAAAGGTTATTTTAGTAATCCTCTTTTAATTTAGTTATGTGATTTATGATAAACATATTGGCTTGAATGTGTGAGGCTTACCAAAACAGAGTAACTGTTTCACCTTTTCTGTAACAAAAATTAATGATGTGTGTGTTTTTCATTGTCTTTCCCAGCAAGCTAAATCCTTCCAGCGGCATCAAGCATTAGCCCTTATGTGCAGGTTAGTGGCAGCTTCGTTTATTTCTTATTCCCATTATGTGTACATGTCTGTCCTGTTCTCAGGTGGCTGCTCAAGTGGGGGTCTACTCAGGTGAAGTATTGTATGTTGGTTTCCATGGGGTGACTCTTATCTCTTGTTGCAGCAAATGGCTAGTCAGAGGAGTCAGGTTCAGAGGCAACAGGCCCTCGCGCTCATGTGCAGGTTAGCAGACATGGCATCCCTGTTTTCAGTGCGCCACAGTGTAGCCCCTTCTAAGGAATTATTAAGTCATCTTGGACCATTTGCTAACGATGGGTATTTCTTTGGCTCAATATTAGAGAAGCAATTGACAATTATTGGGATGGTTTAACCTCCCGTTGACCTTGTGTGTGCACTGTTCCCATGCTTTGATTTCTTATTAATTTTTGAAAAAACTTATCTGGAAAGTAACTAATGTATTTGTAAGTCTGGGTAACCAGAGAGGTGTATGGTGAAAAGATCTCTTTACAAATACTGTTATGCAACATCGATGAATAACAATGATACAGTATTATTTGCCACATGTATTGGATGTGAAAGCACTTGTTAAGTAAGGAAGTAGAAAAAAATCAAATTCTTATTTTAAAACAATCAATTTAAAATTAGAAATGCAAATAATTCAATCAAATATAATTCTGGAGGGATGTAATAACAACTTGAAAATAATAAAATATTTTGAACTTACAATTTGTATAGTAGTATATTATCGTATTTATAGTAATATATAATATATTATTATTATTATTATTATTATTATTTTGTACAAGTTTGTAATAGTTAGTGAAAACTCTGGTACTTAACTTTTCATTGTCAAATTGTACAATCAATAAGTATTTTAAACAGCAAAGGTAATAATAAAATCAAGTTAATACCAAGTTTTGAAGGTTCAGAAATGTTGGATATTGAGGATTCACTATATTCCATTCATACTGAGCTTGCAGTCACATTCATATGAGCTTCAGGGGAAATTAAGCTGTGTGCAGTGCACCACAAATTTTCCTGTGGTTTCTTGCCTCACTATGCTAAGCTAAATTGATCCAGAGAACGAACCCATGTGAAATTTAAATGCCAGTGGCCTTGGTGCCATGTCTGCACCTCAGCTCCTTAAATGAGCGGGTCTCAGCTCTCTCCTTGCCTCCTCCTCGAATTTAATTTTTGCTTGTACCTTTTATGTTGTTTCACATGCTTATTTATTTTTATTTTTTTTACACCTGTCGATATTTTCTTTAACTCTTGATTCATTCAGTCAGTGCGTGTTGTGTGAGTCAATGTGTTGTGTGCATACAATTTCTTACAATTTATAATTTCTTACAACGGGCTACATTGTGTAAATGACGAAGAATTTATGGTATCACAGTTCAGGGTTTTTGTTTGTTGTATTTTTGGTGTTCTTTTCTTCTTTTTTTATTGGGGTTGGCGTGGAAAGATTTTTGCAGTATGATGATACAATATTTTCAAATGAAATATGAACGGTTGAGCCCCTTGATCAACTTGGGTTGCCTCCTGTTCTGCATGATAGTTGCTGATAAGATCTGACTGCATAGGAAGTACAGTGAGAAAAGATAGTAGTTTAATTGAGACTGTTCTTTCCACAGATAGGTTTTCCATATTAATTTAGAATCTTGTGCTGTGTCTTTTGGAGTGAGTGTGGTGGGTTGTCGGTCTTATATGTGGGCAATAGAAAGTTTTGGATTTTGTTTGATATTTTGATGTTGAATTCGAATGGTTTTTCATACATTTTGGTACTCCCTGCATGAACCTGTTATTTTGAATAAGTAGAATATGACTCTTAACTGAGATGGAAATTACACAATTTGCTCATTTCTATAACAACGACATAGGGTCATTTTTGTAGTGGAACAAAAATTGTAACTTTTTTGATTTGATTTTTAATGGTTTCAATTACAATTTTGTCATTTTTATTTCTTTTTCATTGTTTTCTCATTCCATTGTGTAAAAATATGACTGGAACAATCTCTAGCAGAAAATATGATCTTGTTAACCTCAAATGTCGATTGTCTTTGTTAAATTGTGCATTTTATTCAAAAGGCCTAAACAATAAACAATGGATTAAAAGCATTGTTTAATGAATGTGTATTTTAATAATTTATGAAATTTAAATATAGATGAATGTTTTAAATCATTAAAATGTGTTGCAATTTTCTTTTTCCTCCAGATAATTTTTCAATGTATTAAAAGTCTACTTTGAGATCAAAAAAGTCAGTAGTGTGCATTATCTCAAAAAATTGTTTCCAAACAGCATCATACATTTTTATTTTCTCCTATATTTAGTACTTCCTCAAAGTTACATAGTAATGTATTATAATGCTGTAGCATTATAGCACCCATAAAACCTAAAGTATTATAAAGCTAAGTGATTGTACAACGTAACTTGTGTTGAGGGTCACTGATATCAAAGAAGTTGGCAAAGCTTGTTTCTATATGTAGCAAATTACTTCTAACAGACTGAGAAGTCAGAATCCACATTTCGTGGGCTCTTAATATAAAAAAATTGTTTGGCAATACTGTCTGTTCATCTGAGGTCAACACTAGCTCCTAAAACATCTAAGAGGATTTTCTTCAAAATTGACACCTCCTGATCAATCTGGCCAAATTCAAGGCCCTGCGATTTTGAAGTGTACATATACAAATAATCAATATTTTCAAAAAATTCTCAAAAATGGCTCTTAAGTATTTGGCTTAGATTTTTGACTCAGTTAGGTTCTTAAAATACGGCATTGGTCGCTGTTTTGTTAAACATTCTTAATTTTCAAAAATTGGAAAAGTTCAAAACAAAAATTTGGTTCTTCCTACATCCACAATATTGGCAATAGGAATTTAATAATCTTTAATGAAATCTGATCTTTTAAAGATCGGATGTAAATACAGCCATGTACAATTTTGCGAAGTTGAGTGGTTTTTGTGTAATTTTGTGTTAAATGTAGGTTTTTGTTTTTTTGACATAACTCTGTCTAAATGAGATCTTTAAATGAGGCGTGCTACAATTTTTGAATCTACTTTTAAATTTTGTGGTGTAAAATGTATCTTCATTTATTTTTCCAAACCTGACATGTCTACTATATGGAAGCTAAGATATTTCTCAATAGTAGATAATAAAATAATATTGTGAAGTTTTTTCAAAATTGGCAAGTTTTCATTATTTGGGGGGAAATTTTCTGAAATGTGAATGTGAACAAGGTAATTCCATTGCCTGGCAATACCTAGGAAATTTTTTCTTTTCTGTGCTTTTCTTGAATACAAATATGGTTCACATTCAATTATAGTTACAATATGTGAACTTTTGAAATTGCAATTTCAAATTGTCAGAGCTTTTGCTGAAAAGTCTTTTTCAAGATAACTGAAGCAGTAGTTGAATACAATTTACAATATTGTTTATGATAATTATGTATCTTGTACAAGTAAAACAAAAAAGTATGTCCTGTTGTAGCTTTCTTGAAAGTAGTCTTTTTAGTAGTGTTCTTGAATTTTTGACAGCAGCTGAGTTCAGATCAGATTGCGATTAAAGAATTTCAACACAGTAACATGGCAATTAGAATTGAATAGAACTGACTTCCCATTGTTAGACAAAAATATCTCTCTATATGGAAGGCTGTTTTGTATTGTTAAAATTGTTTATATATTAATTTTTAAAAGAATTAGTTTTCTTTCATTGTGCACCTTGATAATAAGGTTTACAAGTGTTGACGAAGATGTGTTAGTATGGACAGAAATTGCCTTATTTTAATATAACATAACTGTTACTAATGCAAGAAATTGTGCTATGGTAGAACCACTAGTTTATTTTTGTATCTCCAAATCCTTTGTAATAATAAAATTATCATATATAAATTTTTTGTTGAGGGGGGGGGGGCATATTTACTAAAGTTCCAGGCTTGCAAAAGATGTATTGTCATTTTTACAATTTCCCAAATTCCGTTACTTGCTCAACATTTTACCCATCATTAATGTGTGTTAGCACTTTATCTTGCTGGCAATGTAACACAGTTGTAAATGTTTTTTTCATTACCTTCATAAATAGAAGTGTCAGAAATCTTCTATTATTATTATTATTATTATTATTATTATTATTATTATTATTAGTTTTCAGTGTTACATCAACTAACCAACAAAATTTGGAAACTTACCCTTAAGTGGAGGTCGGCAAAGTTGTCCTTTTAGTGAGGTGGCCACCATCTGAAAAACACAGAAAACTGGAAAGAAGTAGACTTTTTTTGCTCCTACAAATTAAAGAAAATAAAAACATTAGTGCAGTGCAGTACTTTTTGCACAATTTTTATTTCTTGAGGAAATATTAATTTAGTAATTCATGAAAATGAGAGAGCAGACCAATTAGTAAGGTTACTTTAATATTTTCTTCAAGTAGTGTGTAATTACAAAAATCAGGAAAATCTAGAAAAGTTAAGGAAATTTGTTCCAGGTAATGAATAGTCATATTGCATAAACATAGATATCTGAAAATGCCTAGTTTTTTTTCAGAAAGAGGAAATGAAATATGGGCCTTCTATTCCTCTGCAGGGCGTATACAAATGCAGATCAGTGCTGCGTTGAGAGAACAAATGTTCTCATCAGTTAGTTTCATTTCAGTCACAGTTTTAATAATAAAGGCTCCTAAACTATGAGAATATTCTTGATAGTATAGTTTTCTGACAAATACTCATGTCTATTCATGACCCAGATTTTCTCGGGAGGCACCACTCATCTCAAGTTTTTCAAAGGAGATCATGTTCACTGTAAGTTGGTGTGACAACTGCTGTCATTAACGAATGACTATGGGTAGTTCAAATATATAATTATTTCACTTGCACATAATAAGTTTTTAATGATTCCAAAGCATTGAAATAATTTAGATTCCAATATTCTTCTTGGGGACAAATCAGTTGTAAATTTTGCAACTTATGCACTTTGATGCATAGTTGCTCTAGTTTAAATTACAATTTCAGTGCTTGGTGGGTAATTATAAATTGGGAATAGAAGAATGTGACATTACACCAACGCAGAGTGAATGCAACCTTTATGTGTAGAAACTTAAAGAAATTGTCATTTATTACAAGAATTGCTTTTAATAACATTTTTAGAAGTTTTGAATAAGAAGCACAATTTTTGTGAAAAATGAGCAGGGTTAGCAAGGAATGTTTTCTCAAATGTTTCAAACAAAACCTTTTTGCCCTAATTAGGATCACAGATCAAATAAGGTAAATGGTTGAAAATTTGTTTGGCCAGTTATACAAAAAATAATCTAAAACTTGAATTTTTGATTTAATAAATTAATAGTAAGAAATAAGATAGTTTAACTTCCTCGTACCAATGTAATGTAATCTGTGCTTAACAATTTTCTCACAGGAGAGCATTTGTATGTATACAGAATAGTTAGCACCCTGTCAATGTTGCTCCATCATTTCTTAAGGGTACTTGAAATTTCAAAAGTGCTTCCTGAAACATTAGCTTTTTGCACGTAGACAGTTGTAGTAAATTAGGCAGTCTTCTCTTGCAAATGCTTTTACTAGCAATTATGGATTTTGGATGCTGGAGTTTGCATTATTTTTTTTATGTTAAGGTTTATGGGAACACACACTTCTTGATTGGTAAGGTTAGGTCAGTTAAGTTGGTAATTACTGTTGCAGTTGAGGTATTTGTCAATATTTGCATGGACTTCCACTTGAGCATGTCAGGTGTACAGGTACAACAATCATAAACTTTGCTTTCTTTCATAACTAAGATACTTTCTTATTTTCAGTTTAGTTCTACATGTCTTAATGATTATCTTTTCATACATTTTGTAGTTTCTAAAAATAGTAAGGAATTGCTTTATTCTGCTATTGAATAGAAATTGTAGATAAGCATGGCAATTGTGATGGTTTTGCTGGATATGAAGGCATGTAAAGTTTAACAGTTCTGAATTTCCTTTCTTTTATAAAACTATTTGTAGTGTTTATTTTCTTTTGTTTTACTCACTCATAAGACCAGCAAACTTCATTAAGGAATTGTAATGGAACAAATAGTTCCTTAATTTTTGTGCAATAAATTGAAAATTATCTTATCATTTATTAAATTCTGAAAAATAAATTTTATGAATTAAGTGTTTCATCCTTGCCCTTTTTAAAAATAATTAATAAATTTTGTGGAAAGGAAACATTTGTATTTCGTTTGTAATTGTTATTTTCTGATTTACTAGGGTGTACGTGGGAAGTATTAGTTTTGAGCTGAAAGAAGATACTATACGGCAAGCCTTTCTTCCTTTTGGACCCATTAAATCCATTAATATGTCGTGGGATCCAGTTACACAAAAGCATAAAGGATTTGCTTTTGTGGAGTATGACATTCCTGAAGCAGCTCAGTTATCCCTGGAACAAATGAATGGTGTGATGATCGGTGGGCGGAACATCAAGGTAGAAGTCCCTAATCCATCGTTTTTGCGTGTCAGATGCGAAAAAACTAGTGCACACAATCCAATCTAAAACTATTTACATAATTATAGCAGACCCAGAAGCTATCGCATAAGCTTTCCCTTTTAAAATAACACGTTAAGAAGTCATTCTAACTAGTTTAAGATTTGATTCTATTGAATTTTTACTTTCAAAGTTTTCTAAACAAATTATAATTTGTCAAAAAACATAACTCTTCTGGTGAGACTGCACTTTTCAGTGTAGATTTTATTTTCATTTCAAGCCATTATTTAAGGTTACACTTCTTTGTGTTAGTAAATGCATTTCTGTTAAATACAATTACTTTCATGGATTTTCTGGTTGTGGGAATCATGATTTACCATAATTATTCTAAAATATTGTAATTTTACTTTGTTAGATCCAAATTTCTTTCATAATTGCTTTTTAATATCTGAGAAATGATGCCAGAATGTTAGTATTCAGTTATTGGTTCATTTCTGGCAACTGACAATGTTAGGAAGACTCTTGCCAATATTGCAGTGTAATGGTTCAGTTACTATTGCAGGTGGGACGGCCCAGTAACATGCCTCAGGCACAGTCTGTGATTGATGAAATAACAGAAGAAGCGAAGCAATACAATCGTATTTATGTGGCATCAATTCACCCTGATTTGACGGAAGACGACATAAAGAGGTAATTGGTTGAGAGAAAAAATACAGATGGAACATGATAATTGTAGATATTCTAATGTAATTGAAAGGATCATTGAGAGAAGCACAAGCTATCTGTCTAGAAAAAGGAAAGTCTCAAGTCAGAGATTACAAGTCCTCAGAGTATTGTGGAATGCTGAACTCAGAAAACTCGAAAGGGGTGGCTTATGACTCTCTCACTGCTCCTCTCAATTTTTGAAAGACAATTTGATTACAAATCATTTATTTGTAATTGTTCAGCGTCTTTGAAGCATTTGGACCCATAAAATATTGCAAATTAGCTCCAGGAAGCACCCCTAATAGACACAAAGGATATGGTTTCATTGAATATGAAACACAACAAGCAGCTATGGAAGCAATTGCATCTATGAACTTATTTGATCTAGGCGGACAATACTTGCGTGTGGGACGAGCAATTACACCACCTAATGCTCTCCAAGCCAGCAAAGTTAGTAAGGTGAGTAACATTACATTACATAAAACTACATTTTCTAACTGAAATGTATGAATGTCTTAGATTGACAAGTTCAGTTTTTTGTTCGTGTTACATCGGTTGATTTTAACAATTGTAAATAATAAAGAACATCTTCAAAAACTAATGTGGAATTAAATGAGCTGTAATTAATTAATCAGATACTAACGAAAAAACAAACAATTGTTGATCAATAAACAATTATTTGCCAGGACAATTACAAATATTGCGTCATCGGCCGAGTGAACACCATTAAGAATTTTTACATCTGTGTTTAATATTTTTAAGTTGTCTTCTAGTACCAGAAAACGTTACTTTCAGATATCACTATAAGACATCGCTCAAGGAGAACAAAACTATTTTATCCTAAAAATTTTCTTCATGTATCAATATTGTTTAAGGGTGTCTTGAGATAGATGTTATCAGAAGTTAAGTGTATTCATAATTCCTATTTATGTAAAATTTCAGGCAATTAATACTCAAAAATCTACGTTAGTCTTCTCCCAAGATTTAGAATTGTGTAAAACCTAGATTAGATGTAATTACAAAAAACTTGGAGACATTTAAAGGGTGGCATTGTCTAAACTTGTGAGCTATTTTTAGTGAACCCATGGCAAATTACTTTTAGGGATAAAACTTTGGACAAACCAATGAACTTGAACTTCACTGAAAAACTCGTTGACTTTTCAGAAAAACATCAGTGGTTGTGATCCAAGCAAGCTCTTTGGGCTTGTGGATGAAAACACTGTATACGGTAGTTAAAATCAAAATTGCTTTGGAAGAAGTTCCATATTTTTCGGGCAAAGACGTCTATTACTTCATGATGTTACTAACGTACTCATGATGTTAAAAGTTCTTATAGTTTTCAAAAGTTTTATCAATTTTACTCCTTTCTTACATTTTGATTTGAATGTTTGGATTAAAAGAGATGGATTCTTTGAAGGGAATTTTACAAACTAGTGAGGGTATCAAATGACACTGCTGAAAGAGGTCATATTAATTCAACACTTGAATGCAATAATAACAAAAGATGAAGAGAAGAAACAGTATGTTTTGTGTGTGTAAATTTTGTTCTCTTCTTGTTCTCTTTTGTATCCAAATGTGTCAGTTAGTTCTTCTATTTTGTGTAATATTTAATCTTGGCCTTAAAGCCGCCCCCATGTTGTGAAGTTTACCTGAGTTCACTTAATTACTTAAAGCTTATGCTGGGGTGATCCCTTCCTTGCTCTCCCAGGTAATATAAATTGTTGGCTTACTCATGAGGAGTTTTGTTAGGTTTTCAAGTTTTGAAAATATTTTAAACTGTAACTTTCAATCTATTACTTTTGCTACTTTTAATCTTTTTTATTATTAATTAAAAATCTATTAGAATATAATTTCTTTTATATTGATATCATTATTGCTATTATGAAATACATATGAATCATTTAACATTACTTTTTGTTGAATTCCTTTACTCTCAAAGTTTAACTGGTCACACACACACACACACACACACACACACACACTCTCTCTCTCTCTCTCTCTCTCTCAATTTTTTTTATTCTCTCACTTTCACACACACAGAGGGAGGGAGAGAGAGAGAGATGGTTAATTTTAAATTTATTTCTAACTTAGTTATTATTTTATAACCTACCCACGATTTTGGGTTCAAATGGTATCATTCCGCGTATATCAAAGCTTCCACAGGGCGTCGATTATAAAATGCCAGTGTATCTGGGATGTGTCGTTTGTAATCCAATTCCCTAACTTACCTTCGTTGTTTGCAGTCTTACGCGGCTGTCCTGAAATATTGAATTGAATTTGCCTTATTTTACGTGGCGAGACTCGGGCCATCAGGCCCGCTCTTCCCTCGACCACGCAAATTTCACTACGATACTTTCATCTACTAGAAGAGAAAGGAGGTATTTCAGAAACAGGCGATTTGAATTTAGCTCAGAGGCGTCATTTAGGCTTGAGGATCTTTTACGTACTAACATGGGGACAGCCGGCTTTACTTCCCCTCCGAAAGAAGGCGTACGAAGGATTTTTTCGCCCTTAAAAATCCACGTCTTTGAACCCACGAACTTGGGTACAACAGTCCGGCACGCGATATGATTGGAGGGGGATGTTGAAGACGTTAATTTACTGAGTGAAAGAATTAGATAACCAAATGGGTTATGGGAGATGGAGATGATCATACTATGATAAATAAAATGATCGCGAGCGCACTTAATTTAAAACTAAATTAGTCGACGTCCTTTGTCCATTACCTCCTCTCGCCTGCAGGCGCAGTGACATCGGGCGTTCGGTATTGTCTTATGGTCGAGAGTGACTCGGCGCCAGGTAGCCGATGGGGTGAAAGCGGCGACTGACGGAGTTCCCAAAGGGGGTACTGATCAGCCGGATGGCACGGTTCCTCCGTTTTGTCGTGGCATCGCCGTCAGCGCACGAGAGCAGGGAGGATGGAGATCTCGGCGAATGCGTTTCAGACTCAGTGCACTTACTGTGTGCTCATTTTCGTATCTTATGCTCTTCGTCCCTATACTTCAGTTTATGCAATGGTGTCCCTGGAAAGTATTAGCTGTTGACGGTTTCATCCAATTAGGAGCTTGAACGTTACCATAGTGACGATCACGCTCCCGATTGGATGAAACTGTCAACGGCTGATACCTATCAGGGGTAGAGTTGTAAAAATCGCCGTATATGTCGGCGGCGGAGCGCTCGATTAACGCGCCGGCGTAGCCTAAACCGGGTGGCAGCCACGGGGCCCGTGAAAAGTGGCTACGTTGGTGAGCTCACAGCGCGGGTCCACCCTGGCGACCCGATCAGGGACGTCTGCATGCGCTCCTCGTCGAAAATGTAGTGTTGGTTACGGCCAGACGGTCTCGACTTCTCGGGCACGTCGTTTATCAGTCGGAGACAGCCTTTTTTAGTGAACAACTCGAAGGCTCTCGTGGTCACGTGAGGTGTGATCCGGAGTATTGCTGTTGTGACAATAGTGGCTCGTTACGCTCAAATTTTGATTTTTGACCGTTTCTTGGCGGAGGCTGGAGAGAAGCGTCTCTGTTGACACGTAGATTGTTAACTGCGCCTGCTCCCGAAAAGTGCACGCTGCATGCAATGCAAAACTAAAATTATTTTCTTTGAGGCGAAAAATACCTCGTGGACGGTCGCGTAACCTTTAACCCCCTCCCCTCCTCCCTCAGATCGTTTAGCTATAAAATCTGCGTGCAACGTTTTATGGCTCAGGAGCGAGGCGTGTAATGTGGACGGGCAGGCGGAAGATAGAGCGCCGTACATCATGCCGCATCAATCCACCCTCACAATGTGAAAATAAAATGTAAGGCAAATCAAAATCTCGACAGAAATTACAAAGGCAAATGTAAAAACTGCCGAACAAAGCACACAGATGCGTTACATATGTAATACCAAGCTCGTAAAGTGGCTTATTAAAACGAGCATCAAAAATGAACGTGACGGTTGTTCCCAGTATCATATCACGTATTGGAACTTCTTACCGATTCTTCACCAATTTCTGTCAGGTTTTCACTACTCATGTTCTCGTTTGTAATTTACCGCTCGATGCGTTGCCAGAGGCCCAGATAACGGAAAACCATCCGAGGGTTTCTTCCAGAACTAAATCTCGTGCGGGGTCTATCCCGCGGTCTCGCGAGGAACCTGATTGATTCATTTGTTGATATCTGCAGTACTCCCGGCCACCTCTTGTAGTTCTCAGACTCATACAGTCTGAATAGCGGCGATAACTCGCGCACGACTGTCTAACGATTTCTACTGTGGGTGTCTAATTGACGAGATGACAAGTACGCTTGTGCCTTCTAATGTTTTCCACAGGTTTTCTGTAAACTACTTTGCGTGGTCCGAAAGGACCTCGACATGGGCGAGCTTCTCCAAAGTAGTTGCGAGTTAGCTTGCGTAAATAGTTCTGGACTTTAGCCAGGTGATGGGATACGTGTGTTTTTAAAATGTGTAGCAGATAACTATTACGGGAATACCCATACGGGGTGGTCGGCAGTGGCCCTTATAGATCCAAGCACAGTAGTTCATTTGGCTTATGGGAATGGCATGATCCATTGATGTATAACATTCAGGTTCTCAGTTGTCTGGCATATCGCGTAATTTGCGATCTGAACCCTAATCTCCCTAGCCATATTTTTCCAATACACATACTCTTGGATAACTGTCTGAATTTTCTTGCTGCCATAGTGCCTATTTTTCAGGTGTATGTGCAGCTTCCTTGTGACTTCAGTGGGAATCCAAGTCTTCTAACAGAGACTCGTCCGCAGAACTGAATAACATATCTGCCAAAATTTTACGCCCAGAAAAAATGTTCTGAAGATTACATTCTTTGTATTCAATTTCGTTCTTTCAAAGTCTTATTCAAGAAATTTATAGTAATCTGCTAGCCCCTATATTACAACATACCGTGTCATTCTTAAAAATTTGTATGAGATTATAATTTTGTAGTTGAAATTCTCTACAAAAGAGGATTTTTCCCATTTGCACATACAACTTATCCTATAAAACTTTCTGACAATTACCTTCACATTCATGATAAAGATACATTTTTGACTTCTAGGTTTTTATAATGTGAATGCTAAAAACATTAATCCGTAGCTGACACATACAAAAAATTTCATGGGTTGGAATGTTTGACAGTGGCAAGTTCTGCATGTAGTCAAAGCACAATATGCAATTTTTGTCGTTATTGTTTTGAAATGCCACTTTCATTCTAGTGTAAAATATTTGTGCTTCTTTTCTAAACAATGAGTCATTTAAAGTTTTCTCTCTCAATTTAGCGTTAAGCCTTTCACACATCACAAACATCAGCCTGACAAAATAAATATTGAAAGTTTCACTAAAATATTTAATATAGAAGCTGTACTTCACAACATCTTTCAGATCAGAATTGTCAGTGATAAACATCTCATGCATTTTGTAGACATTCAGTCGAACATCTAGATACTTTTCCAATTTATTACTGTAGTGGGTCTCTGTAACTTCAACTTCGAAATGTCAAGGATGCGAACACAAACAGGTCCAGACACAGCATTCTCTACTGCTCTTGCCCCTTTCATGAGAAGGGGGCTTATTTTTAAGCAATGACTGACAAATCCTACCTACTCTATCTTGTGAAATGCATAAGACATGAACCAATCACAGTACGTTAACTCAAAATCGAAAGAGTGAAGTTGATAGACGAACTCGCCCCGTATGGGCCATGGACACAGTCGATATCTTGAAATCTATTCCCACATCCAACCAATAGTAAACGAGATAGACATTGTGAATACTTCAGTCCATCACTTAAGTGAATGTCATCTTAAGTTGATAATGTGGCAATAGAATGCTTTCGCATTGTCTTAAGTGCTATAAGTTGGGCAAACTTTATGGTAATATATGAATTGTTTATTAGGAAGATTATTCATTGTTTGCAGGGTCCATCAGGCTCCTCAAGTATGATGCCTACAGCAGCTGCTGTGGCTGCAGCTGCTGCAACTGCCAAAATTCAAGCAATGGATGCAGTAGCAAGTAATGCAGTTGCATTAGGTAAGTTTTACTAAGTGATAGGACTTGTCTAAGGTTAAAAAGGAGTAAGGTAAATGCAATGAATAAATGTTTTACTTTTTCAGGTCTTTCAAAATTAGGTTCTGCTGTTGGTGCACCTTCATTACCAATGCTACCATCAGTTCCTACAATTCCTGCTGCCATGCCAACGTTGCCCATGCAATCAATGCCTGGTGTACCTGGAATGCAAGCTATTCCTCCTGTCGGCCTAGCTACACCTGGTGTACTTCCTAATCCTGGTATGCCAGGTCAGGCTCTAATTCCACCACCTGGATTGGCTATACCTCAGTTCCGAGCTCCAGCAATGAATGCTCCAGTTACAACAATAGGTGGTAAGTACCAAATTTAAAATTTCATTAAAAAATTTATTTTTGAAACAAAACAAAAACAAATGCAGCTCTAAGAAAGTGCTTCTCATTTGATGATGTTCTACATTTATCTTTTTCTGGCCTCATCATATTTCACTGTTAATTTCTTTGTTTCCCTTACATTTAGTATTACAGTAAAACTTGTTATACATTTTTCTGGGGTCAGGGGGGGGGGTGTAATGAGAAAAAAACATATCTGAAAGTGAACATTGAGCAAAACAAAAACTGGCACACTCCATTCTTGGACCAACGTTAGTTACAATTTTAGTCAAAAAACTAAAAACTATGTGGTATATGGGGGAGAAGTACCACAGTTAACTGATAAAATAAAGTTTGAAACTTTTGAAAACTTATTTGCATCAGTAAACAAACTGCAAATTTTATTTTATTTTTGTATTGCTAACAAAGTTGTAACCCTTTGTACTCCTACCACTGCTAGCAAGATGTGAAGCTGCATTTATGTCCATATGTATTTGAACTTTATGCAATCAGTCCTTTAGGCCTTGTCACAGGAGCTTTGCATTGACATGCATCACCTAACGCTGATGATGCCAGCTGTATCAATGCCTGCACACGAGTCTTTTAATGCATGTAGATTAATATTGTATCTTATGTGAAACAGCACTTGAGCTGTTTTTGCAATGTGCATTGTGCCCACAGCTCAAGCTACAACGTAAATCATGATGTGCATTGGCAAGAGCTCTCGTGTGCCATTTCACATAAGATACAATGTTAATACTTGACACACGTTAGGTGACTCGTGTGCGCAGCATCGATGCAGCTGATATCAGCGTTAGATGACTCACATGAACACAATGTAAGATTTGTTCAAAACTCGGAGTTCATTTAAATCACAGAGAATATGAATTTTGGAGATAAAAGGCAGAGCAGTTTAGGTGCTAGTGTTGACTACAGATGTTAATATGTAAATAGATTTTTGTATCAAGGCCTCAAAAAACATGGATTCTGACTACACAACCTGTTAGAGGAAGTAATTTACCGCATGTAGGAACAGGATTAATTCATCTTTTTGTTATGGCCGGCAATAAGTGTTTGTGTTGAAAATTCACTGTTTTTCCATAGCACGATTACAATATTTTCTCTTCGTATGAAGATGGGCAAGAATGTTTGTAACATACTGTAAGATCTTAGTACTGTATTTTACAGACTATATGACACACCTGAATTTTAAAGCAATTTTTTGTAAAAATTACGTTTTTACAATTTTTATAATTAGATTGCAAAGCTTAACTAAAGAAACTCTTGTTTATAAAACCGAACCGACTTTAAGATTCCCTGAAAATCGTCTGAACTTTCTTCTTCATCTTCATCACTGCCATCAAGTGTTACATAAGCCGCACTTCTGGAAAAATTTAACAATAATGTCATCTGTCACTCTAAACCACAACTGTTTTATCCATTGACCCTCTTGTTTGATTGTGGATCGTTTTAAAGCTCCCTACAGCATGAATTGATATTGGGTTTCATCCATCAGTTTGTTCCATTCCTTTCTCATATGCACTTTAAATGGTTTATTTACTGAGATATCAAGGTTGCAATTGTGAAGAAAGTCCTTCCAGAACATCAGCATACTCTGTATTTCCGTCTCGATTTCTCTTTCATAGAATTTTTCAAATGACTATTTAGGTGATCTAGCACAAGAAGAGAACTCTTCTTCAATGAAGCACCTTTCCCTCTCCCCACTCTGTTAATCCATAATTTCATATCAGCCTCTTCTGTCCAACCCTTGTCATGTATGTGACAAGGTGGTATTTCAGGAACTTTTAGCATTGTTTTGCACTTGAAAATGATCATTGGAGTAAGTTTAGTGTTGGCTTCGTATGTTGTGCAGACAACAATGTAGTGCATTTTTTTCATAGTTAGTTATAGTACCTTTCATGGCAACAGCTCTGTTACTTTTCACATGAAATGTCAGAGGAATTTTGTCTATATTCCATACTGGTTTTCTTTTGATGTTGAATAATAAAGTGATAGAAAGATGATATTTTTCTTTTAATGCTCTTGTGGAATTTTCTGTGATATTTTATTTTGGTTCACATGCTGAGTGTTTTACTCTTCATAAACCAATTTTGAGTTAATTCCAATGCCATTTTGACGGTATCCTTGAACCCATTTCAATAAGCTGTTCTCTAGTTTTGGCCATTTTGCAATTTTGCATTGCCAATTGTGAATGTTTTTCTTTTCTTTTTTTTTTTTTCCTGTTAGAGGGTCAAAATACTGCTCAGCTGCTGTGTTTTCATGTTCTTCTGTGTAAGCTATTATTTTCAATTTATAGCCTACATCATATGAACACCTTTTATATTTTTCCATTACAAAACTAAATAAAATAAAATAAAAAATTTTAAAAAAAATGCACTGTTACCGGTAAAACAAAATCACTGCCACGTAGGGTGCCAGTGAAATGTCGCGTCATTGCCTAGACAGTGTTGAGTGTTTGTGATAGTGGGGCAGGAGGCAGAGTGTTAGCAAGCTTGTGAATTCCTGCAGCCGCTGCCGTCATTTGAATCCAATGTTGCCAGAGAGAGATTGGTTTCCCGTGCCATCGTAATATATGGCCATTTTTAAGACAAGCGATAATTTTAAATCGAACACTGGACATTTTAAAATTAATTTCAAGTATAGGACACACCTGTGTTTTGTTGAGTTTGAGATTCCTCCCTCCCTTTTCTATTCTTCACTCAAGAAATAAGAATGCAATTGAATGTTTATAATATTCATTCTTTTTTAGGTCAGCCGGTAGCAGTTCTTCCACCACCTGTTGTGTTAACGCCTACATTAGCAAGTCAGCCTCCATCATCTCAACAAGCTAATCCTCAAGATGCAATAAGAAGGGCTCAGGAACAAGCTCAGGTTACATATTAGTGTTGATCCTAATCTATGTTAATACCAGATATAAAATATTATTTTAATGTGTACATTTCTCATATAGCAAAAGCAACAAGAAGAGCTTCAAAAGAAACTTTTGGAAGAAACTGAACCACAAACTTTACAGCAGCAGGAAAATATGTCTATTAAAGGACAAAGTGCAAGGCACCTTGTAATGCAAAAATTGATGCGCAAAGTTGAAGTGAGTATATTCTTTGGATTATAATTATATTTTTTGATTTTCTTTCATTCATGTTTGGCATTCTGTTGTTCAGAGTCGAGTGGTTATTCTCAGGAACATGGTAGAACCTGAAGATGTTGATGAAACATTACAAGAGGAGATACAAGATGAATGTAGCAAGTGAGTAATGAATTTTGGTTACTGTACAAATATAAATTTTGGATATCCTAGCAATCTGCTGGTTATGTGCAGATCGTAGGATGCTAACCGTGTCTTGTAATTCTCTTGCTAATTTGTGTGTGTGTGTTTATTTAAAAATGCTGAGGTTCCATTTAATTCAGCCATTGGCAGGTGCTAAATCAAATCTTTCCAGTTCGAGCAATGAGTCTCGGTCCGCAAAACTCATTATTCCTTTAGAATATTTTCATTCCACAGAACCAATCTGGGAAGTCGTGGAGGGAGATGGTTTACAACTTCTAAGTCCAATGCCCCCCCCCTTGTTTTTTTACACATCTTACTGTGCAAAAAATGCAATAATGCCTGTGTGCAATATTTTAGCAGTTGTATGGTTTTAATCAAAATAACACCATTTACTTGGCAGCAAACCACTCCCTGCACTTCATGAATCTTGTAATTGGAGCCCACACACCATTGAATTGGGCGATACTTTTGTAATAATTTTAAACCTGTCTTAAAACAGTTTTGTTTATTTCATGTGCCTCTATTCCTATTATCCTTACATTTTTTCACATTTTGTTAGTTTGGTAATGCTGAGTAAAGGGGGTTTGTTAGAACAAGTAGAATCTTGATATCCTGAACTAATTGGGTTTGTGTTATGTTCGAATTATCCGTAAAAATGTACCGTACATATACATACATCTATAGCTCTATAGGATTACCAGACTCATTGCTAACTTGCATGCAATGTTACAAACAACTGAGTACAGTACATACATAACCAATCACATGCGGTAGTGGTTGCTACATTGTTCAGAAGAGTTAAAGCAGAGTTTGTACCGCAAATATTCTAGAAACAATATTCAGAATTAAGTCGACTTATACTGGGTTCATGCTTTTTCGTTCATGAAATAATTTGATGCAAGTCAGGTGTTTTTGTTGTTTTGTTTATTTTTTCCTCCATCTCAAATTTTGTTTGGATTATTTGTGGGGTTCTACTTATTACTCTCTGCTCATAACCAGAAGACGAGAATCCCTAAATTTTGTTTAATTTAGAGATTTAATTGAGAGTAACATACTTTTATTGCTTCAGGTATGGATCTGTTGAGAGAGTTATAATTTACAATGAGAAACAATCTGAAGAGGAAGATGATGATGCAGAGGTTATTGTCAAAATATTTGTAGAATTTTCACAAATGAGTGGTAAGTTCAGTTCAACAACTGATCTTTCTTACTTTCTGTTCTTCATTTAAATAGCATTTTTTATGTGTGCAAATTTGTTTCAGAGGCAGAAAGTGCTCGGGATGCTTTGAATGGAAGATATTTTGGCGGACGATTAGTGAAGGGTGAACTGTACGATCAGGCATTGTTTGATCATAATGATTTCTCGGGTTAAATTACCTTATTGCAGCAGAGTTTCTCCTATGGAAGAAGCTGCTGGTCCACTTGCCTTGATCTGCATTTGAGGCTTCTATTGTTGCTATTGATTCTCACTAATGCTGAAATACAATCATGAAATTGGGAAGATAAGTGATGACTTCATTTGCTCTTATGAGGTTGTATATATAAATAATGTAATTTTAACTGTACAGTAATTATCCACTGAGTCATCTAGGGTTAATTTCCTTTATCTGTAGACTGACACCAACAAAGTTGAGTAAATTTTTACATTACATTTGGGTAGGCAGTTCTACTAAAAGATGTGAAAACTATAATTTTTATGTTGGCCATGATGTGAATAAAATAAATGGATCATCAGATACAATTGTTAAGAAGATTGTTACGAAATTGGTCATAGAAGTACAATGAACTTCTGTCTTGGATTTACAAATATAATGCACATGACATGCAGTTCCTATTAGTTTTTTCTTCCTTGTAATTTATTACATTGTTACAAACCATCATCCTATCAATGTTGTGTAATCCTAATCTACTTAAGATATCCTATGCCATTTTTTTAAACAGGTAATAAAACAACGAAATCTGGGCCCTGAGGGGAAAAAAACGTTCTGTAACTTAGTACAAAATTGTACAATTGATAGTAGTAAAATGTAATCTATCTTTAAATGCTTAACACTGAAGACAAATAAACTGGATTTTATGACAATAGTATGCTTCATATTCATAGACAATGCCTAGTTTTCATCATGATGAAAATATTAGAATTGTAATTCTTGATTTGTTTTCAAATTAATTTAAGTAGGTTAATAAACATGGAAAAATTTCTGCACGAAGGATGAAATTAGTTATTGGTGAATATTTCAGAATCTTTTTTTATTTTTCTATACATACACTAATGAATTTGATTATGGTAAGTTTTGGGACCCTATTCTAGGATAATTTGAAATTGTAAGATAACAGGATGTTGGAGATTATGATTGCTGTGGTTTGCTAGGTTCACTACTGTACTCTTTATATGTTGGGAAAGACTCCAGGCCTTTCTTCTCTCTCTCCAAAAGACCATGAAGTTCATGTTGATTCTTTCTTTCTAACTCTGCAGCATTAGCCTTCTTTAAGTTCATTATAGCTACATTTTTCATTATTTCTTCTTCTAATGGAGGTGTATCCCGTCTTCCTCTCAGCCAAGATTCCCATTCTGCTGGCATTTCCTGCTCAAAATTATCTTTTTCATGGGGTTCAAACCACCTTGATGGCTTCCGTTTACCAATACTGGGATTTGCTGGTATTTCATAATATTTATTTCCAAAATAGTCTGTTCCAATCAAATCGCCTTGAATTTGCCTCGGTTTTAATGATTTTATGAAGTTCTTGAGAATCATGCCGAGGATACTTCTTCCATTCTGTGCCATGACACTAGCTACATGTCCTGAAATAAAGGATACAGGGCAAGTTATTGATAATCACATCAATTTATTTTATTAAAGTTTGACATTAGAGAAATAATATATTAAACCTTACTTTAAGTACATTTAATAAAGATAAAAATAAAAAATAATAAAAATGCTTTTAATATGATAGTCACAGATAACATGATGCAAATATTAACTATTTAACCGTGCACTTGTAAATCACCTGTTCGAGGTTTCATCCAATTGGGAGCTTGAACGTCACTAGCGACATATAAACTCTCGATTGGGTAACAGCTGATTTACATCAAGTTCATGACTAAATAAATCATACTATATTACAGTTAATTCCCAATAACTACTGCTTGCTTTTAAATTTCAACTTGCTCATTTATATGGCCATACAGCCACAAGGTGGTGCTTAAGTGTTTTGAGGTACTTATCAGTTTCCTAATAACATTACTGCATATTAAATGGTAGCTTATTGACGAGTAGTGCTGAAATGCCGTAGGCATTCTAAGATGCTTCTTTGAAGGAATTTATTGATTAACTTCAGGAACATTAGTGTGACAAAACAGAGTTTGCAGTTTTAACAGAAGAAAAAGAGTTGCTGTTACCTGTATCATGTTCAGAGTTGACAAAGTTATTTAAGGTCATACAAACATCAGAAGGATTTTCAAGGATCAAACCTTCATGTAGTAGGTGAATGTTTTTGTGGGTTTGAGTTGTTCCATAAAATTTTAGTCTGGTTTTTGATTGATTCGCTTTAATCATTAATTCAAGCTCATAATTTTTTTATACTTTTTGTATAGTTGATCATAGTAGTCATTCTTAGCATTTCAAAACAGCTCATACAATTAATTTCTAAGAACCAAGATCTCTTTAGTATGTTTTCTTTTATTACAATTGATTTTTTTTTGACAAGCTGCTTAAATGGCAGTCACTTCCATTAGAATTTGGAATCTCTAGCTGCCAATGATATTTCCTTTTCTTCCTTTAATTGCATATCTTTTATCCAGTCAATTATTTCACAATTCATTTTATTCTGAGCAAATATTGCAATACCACCCACTTATTGAATTTCTACAGAAACAATTTATGTTTGTAATTGGCAAATTAATTCTTTATATTTACGGCCATGTTCAGTAATGACTTGTAGATGTGTATGGGCTCTTTAATCAATCTGCTTTATTGTAAAGATATTGTATATTTTGATGGAGTACTCTGAAGAATCAATCTTTTTTAAAATTGCCACAAGGTAGAGATGATTGCTACAAGTAGAGTTGCTTCAGAATTTAGGAGCCCTTTACACTTTATAAGGAGAGTGGCTCAGTGAGCAAAAGGGGCTGGAATAGCGTGCACGGGAGGGATAACAGTGATGTTAATGGAATTGAGGGTGGGGAGAAAGTGACGAGGAGCAAGAAAAAGGTTGGGTGACATCTGAGGATTACTTGTGCCTCTCAGATGTGTAGCAAACACTTTAAGTGTGTTTGCCAGTTCATCTAAGATGATACACTGGGTGGGCAGTTTCCGAGAGGCTGCCAAGATCTACAGGTGTAACAGATTTGTCCCCCAGTTGCAATTTTAGTTGTTTGTATCTTTGATTTCCAGTCATCTCTGTTATCGTTTCCTTCTAGCCTATTGATTTATTTTGACTGGATTGACCTGTTGAAATTCAAGTGTGTACAGGCGCTCTGTGGGTCAGCATAGAGAAAGAGCAGTGTAGTATGTGTGCGTGCAAAAAGTGTAAGAATTAAATAATTATGGGACTTCCGGATAAATTCACATGTCTGAATGCAGGTTTAACCATAAATTATTAACATTGTAACTTAGCCTCTCCGCACAGAACTCTTCTGACCAACGTAAATAAAGGTAAGCCAACACAGATTCTGGGAATGCCAAATTTTAAAGCATTTACGGGTCGAATTATTCACAAGGCTCAGTTGCCAAAGTGCTGGCCCAAGTCCAGGAGACTTCGGGCTCCACAATTTGCAAGATACGACCTTGGCTTTACAGTACTTTACGCCTAATTACAGTTTCTTCCCCCGGTGGTTAAAGTAAACCACTGTACCAACAAAGTATAATTGCCTTTGAACAGCAGTGAAGTTAATACCAGAAATCGACATCACTAGTCTTGGTCTCCCTTGACTTGGTTTTCAATGATCTGCTTTCCTCCTCAGATAAATACAGTTAACCTAAAGTTTTCGGTCCCTTTCATTCTCACATATAACATAAAGAAATTAAATGTATATAGAGGAACTAACCTCAAGTCCACCTGAATTTTGGGCACGATGTTTCTCCAATGTACACAGCTAATGTACGTTTTGAACTGTTGGATTCAGTTTCCCGTGATTTATACTTCGATGTATTTGTAGTGGCGCTTGACGTAAAGCAGCTGTTGACGATGTCCAATTGGATCACACAAACTCTGCAAGTTATATGCCACTACAAATAAATCAAAGTGGTGGATCATTTAAGGTAACGTGGTCGGAAAAAGATACACCCATCCAATCGGAAGCTTCATTACTTTAATTTTTGGTATTTGAGTTTCCGATTCCATAAGTGTTTCCCCTCTCCTTTCGGCTTGTGACCCTGAGGTGCCACTCTATTTAAATGGGAGTGTATACTAGGCACGTAAGATAACATATACAATTATACACTCGTATTTTAATAATAATGTGAATAGATCAATTCTCTTCCTTCTTTTTCGAGAGAATATGGAGGAAGTCAAAATATTACTTTCGCTATTCTACCACTTTCCATACCGCGAGTTTCACCTGTTCCCTTAGTTTCTTTTTTATTCCATACTGAGATATAAGATGGGTGTGTTCCTTTTTCAGCAATGTAAGGCATTTTATATACGTATTATTCTCGCACATTTTCTTGAGCCCTCGCTTCGCTAGATGGGAGAGGACTGGGGAGTTTGGTTATTTTGACAAATGGATTTTTACGTCCAATTTGTAGTTCATTTTTCCATACAAAATAGTTTTTAATACACGGAAGCGAACATTCCTCGTCACCACATTTTGTCTACAACACTCATTGCTATCATTTATTCTTAATGCAACTAATGTTGGGAAAGGAGAGAGGGTAGATATTCCGGGACTCAAGAAAACTTGCGGGTGTAATATATTCCACAATATCAAATAAGTAGCAGACTATCGTTCGTCATGGACACAAGACTGCTGGATGCCCAATTTGGATTCAGACCAGGTCGCTCCACCTCACAGGCCATCGAGAACGTACTAAATGAAATTAAAAGATCGCTAAATAATTCTAAGGAAGAATGTACGAACTCTTTGTGGAGCTTTTCATCTCCTCCAGAGATATATCAGGGAAGGAGAATACCTTCTTCCAGTCATAAAAGGCATCATCCACCTTAACTACATTACTATAGACGACAATGTTGCAAAATCAATAGAAATCGCAGACTAGCGGGGCCCTACGAGGAGACTTGTCCGAGCACACTTTTTAATATTGCTCTCATAGATGTTTACAGCATTATTGAAGATATAAATGGAGCCTCCCTCTACCTATATGCAGATGATATATTAACTTCAAATAATATCGATAACCTGCAAGAAGTCATGAATTCCCTGTGTAAGTGGACAATGGAGAATGACTCGAGAGTAAACAGATACAAAACTGATTTAATGGTGTTTCGAAAAGGAGGCAAAAGAGCCGGAAATGAAACCATAGCAATGAGAAGTGGGGTACTAAAAATTGAAAATTGTCGGCATGTACAAATATGTAGGCATAATATTATAGACAACCGAATTGACCTTCAATTGCCTCGTTAAAGAGAGGGCAGCTGCAGCAGTGATCGCAGTGGCATCATCAGTGGGGCGTTACAACCAGGGTCGTCGCACACTGGTTTGCCTGGTACAAGTAGATTTTGCCGGTTTCAAAAGGAATATTATAATTACATTTAATAGTAGAAAAATATACTGACGACCAATAGTAAGCGGGAAGGCGGTACGGGATTGGTGGAGGAAAAGCAGAGCGTTATCAAGGATCCACAAATTGTGGATGCTGGCTAGACTACGTGATAGAGGATTCCCCCCTAATATTAACGCTGGATTTACCCATTTTTTTGTTACTAGGGCTTTGTAATAAGAGTTTTCCTGCTGAAAATTCGCCTTTTTTTTTTTT